AAATGCTGATGCATACCTTCAAATCATTCCTCAATGGGCTTCAAGCTATATTACTAAAGTTTTAACCTGAATCTAATGCAAATAAGTTCTTTACCACTTTGGAAACCAATTGCATCAGACAGTTTTGATAAAAACAAGAGAAAAATAATGAAGACAGATTGATGCACCAAGGCGTAGCGGGGAACTAAGAATTAAAGATGAAAATTACACACGTTCCCTTTCATTGATGAACCTTGGCTACGAGACCTTTTAAATGTGAACTCAATTGATTGTGATGTGTTGAAAGAACATCAACTACATGTAAAAATTCTGGAGCAAAGAGCTATCAACTGCTTTATCAAAGTCAAGCTTGTGTAACTTCAATTCAAATTATACCTCTACATCACCTGGTGAGACCCAAATTTGTACAAATTGTATAATTGTATAACTTTTTTTTCTCACAGAGTAATGCTCAACTAGGCTGCTTGGCAGAGAAACTTAGGTGGTGTTCTCTTCGTGTTTCTGTTTTCTGTTTTGTGATTTGAATTCATTTTGAGTTTTGTGTTTTGAGTGTCCATTTTGAGATTGTTGAAAATACGTTCTTTTTGTCATTTTGAAAAATTGTTTTCCAAAATTAAAAACACCAAAACACGTTCTCCCATCCCATCTCTCTCTCCCCCCTCCCCTCTTTCTCTCCTATCTCTTCCCACCGCCGGGCTCCATTTCGCCGGCCAGAAGGAGTGTGGGTGCGATGCTGCTGTCCTTCTTCTTCCTTTTTTAGTGGAGATTTTGGGTCGCAATTTCAGTGGTGATGGTGGTGGCTGTGGGTGCGATTTGCTACGATTCGGTGGTCGACGGTGACGGTGGCTGTGGCAGTGGTCTCTTAGCCGATCGCAACGCTGTTGTCCTTCTTTTGTTTTTCGGTCGCGATTTTTGTGAAGATTTTGGGTCGCGATTTCAACCCAGCTAAGCAGTAGATTTTTGCGATTTTGGGTTGCAGCAGATTTTCGTGGTGATTTTGGCTGTGGTGGTCGTTGTTGTGTGTGCGATCAACTGTGATGTGGTGGTGGCTATGGGTGCGATCTGCTACGATTTGGTTGTTGGCGGCGGTGGTGGCTGTGGGTGCGATCAGCTGTGATTTGGTGGTTGGCGGCAGTGGTTGGTGCAGACGGTGGTGGTGGCTGTGGGTGAGATTTGGTGGTTGGAGGTGGTCGACGGTGATGGCAGTGGTTGGTGCAGGCGGTGAAGGTTGGCGGTTGGGTTGAAAACAACGAAAACGCGTTTTGGAAATTTTGGCCAAGTTATAACTGAAAACACTCAAAACGACATTTTTGTCGTTTTGTGTTTTCTTTATAAATTTTAAAGTCGTTTTCAAAAACGCGTTTTCGAAAATAGGAAAGAAAACGCGTTTTCACTGTTTTGGAAAATCGAAAACAGAAAACGGCTTGAGAACAGGCCCTTATATGTTTACAAACATTGATGACTAAAATTGTTATGTACTTCTGCAGATAATTGGACTGATACTAGAAGGAAAACCAGTATCTGAATGAAAACCACAATTCACGGCCTCATGTGCACAATTATCAATATAATAAAATTAGTTAAAGTATAGTTAGTAAGACAACATTACAACCATAAATTGTAATTACACAATCATAACATTGATCAATTTATTTGGATCCTTGGTTGTTCATATTTATGTTATAATCTCTAGGCAAGCTGTTACTGCATCCAAAGGATTCTTCATCAACCCAAAAGAAATCAAGTTTAATTCTATATTAGTCATATCCTCTTTCCCTCGATCAGTCAATAATTAACAATCAACTTAGGTACTTACAGGAAAAAAGAACCTTGCAGAATCAAGAATCATTAATGAATATTCAACAAGAAGCACAAGCATGAAGAAACGCTTGATCAGCTACAGATCCGAAATTTACATAGAAAAGCAAACAAAAAACAAAGAGAACCCATCAAATGTCTCAATAATTCCATTAGTTCAAACACAATTCAACGCCAAACAGCAAATCCGATTCAAGAAAGCAGATATACAAAGAAAAGAACCAAAATTTGTCCGGGAAACATCTCACTTACACAATGTAAACTTTGATGGCCATTGATCAGATTAAGTGCGTTCCTTTTTCTCAGAAGTGGGTAAAAATACGTTTGAAAAAGTGAGAATTGACACTGAGCTTCAGAGCTGGGCTCCCTATTTTATACTTAAATATTCCCCAGTTCGGTTAAGTTTCAATTAGTATTCTGGGATTAATTAATTTGGATTAAAAATACTGAGCAGCTGATATGTGTACCTAGTTAATGATGATTGAGTGTTGTCACGCTCGTGCTCACCGCCTCTCATCATGACCAAACCAAAAAATAAGTCACTTATCTTTGATTATGTGCGGATAACTTATTTTTTTCTTAATTTTAAGTAAAAAGTTATATTTGAAATGTAACTATTGTTAAACCTCTTAGCAATAAAGACATTATTTATGGGGTAAATTTTTTCATGGGTCGTAAACCCTTTTTTTTAACTGACGTCGGCCATTCGTAACACGCATATTCTCAATCTTTATCGATTATTTTTACCTAATGAATAATGTTTATTTAGACATTAAATAGCCGTACGTCGTTGACGATGTACTAACTAAAAGGTTAAATATCCAAAAAAAAAAAAAAAAAAATTCTTACAATTTAAATACTAGCAACAATAGTTGATAGCAAACAGTTTTGACAACAACAGAAGGAATGCAACTGTCATAGTTGTATTCAAATTAAGAAAGTAATTTGTACAATTATAAGCTTTTAGCAGACATCATGTCCATGTCGTGTGATCATTTAACATCTAAACGTTTTCCATAAGGTCACATTATGTCTCGATACTACGTGTATAATGTTAAAGGGGTTGAGACATAGTTGTTACAAACGAAAGGTTGTGAACATAGTTGCTGCACTAACGAAAAGTTGAGACCCCTTGAGGAATTTACCCTTGTAAAATTTACTTTTTTCTTTAAGAGTAAATTTATTTAATAATAACCCTTTTAAGTTCAACCAAACATGCTCGACGTAAATTTATTTTTGAATATCAATGTCAACCCCCTTAACTACCTTTTGTACTAAAAGTTGGATCTTCGGAACCACAACTAGATTACAACTTTTATTCCATATAGGACTAAAAACTAGATTACTCGAACCACGAGAAAACTACTAGTTTTATTCCTAGATTTTGATCGAACTATCTTTCTTTGTTATTGTCATGTTCAACTTAGAGCACAAAACTGTAATTTGAACTGTCACTATGACAATGCTGCTAATATATATGCACTGCCACAGAGAAATTAGTGACTCTATTAGGAATTATAATGATGATCTATCACTATTGTTTTGAAATAAATTCTGATTTCATTTTACACTAGCATTATCGTGGGATCTAATCTGAACAAAATTACTAGATTAGAAATTATATTGTCTGTTCTCTCTTAAAATTCAAGACTGTAATCATGTAATGCTTTGCCTCAAATTTTGGCATTCAAAAGAGGCCCCACCAAGAAAATGATCACAATTTGGCTTTTATTTCAAGAATCCAACATATTCTTCTACCTCCAACTAATCATTTCGGACCCGTTTGGTAGAATTTTTCCTTTTGCGTTTGCTTTTACTTTTGCTTTTGCTTCTTATAGAAGAGCTTTTTTGTGGAAGCTACCTTGCCCAACACCTTCTAAAAACTCTTCTAACCAGAAAATCATTAAAATGAGTTCAATAGCAAATATTTGTAAGTAAACATTACATGTTATAGACAATAGAGTAACCCATTGAAGTTTCATGTTTCAACCAAGTTAAGCTCCTGTTCAACAAAGCTTTTTGAAATTATGAGCGGGTTCCATAAAATGTGGGGTTAAAAGTGGACAAAAGTTGTTAATTCAATAAAATGTGTTGTTAAAAATGAAGTTTGACCACCTTAAAATCTAAGAAAAAAACTTTACCAAACGAGAGCAGAGTCCTTAACCGGTAAGTTAGCAGGAAAAATGCCACAAGATACACAGCAACTTCCGTGCAAGAGTGCCACATTGAGGACAACTCTTGACTTCTTCACATCCCAGGATGAGGTGACCCTTCACCCACAATTTCTTTATGGTTGACAACTCCACTCCCAGAGAGGAAGTCTTGTATAGATAAACTTCTATGTGCACTCAAAGAAAATCATTAGTAAAACCATTGGAAAAGAAAATCACTAGTAAACAATTGGAAAGACTTAAATAAAGTTTCCACATGAAAGCTACCTTTTGAACTTGTCAACATTACTATTTACTCCATTGAGATTATTATATAGAAGTGATATTTAGGACAACTTGAGACTGTCGGGAAAATCGACATGGTTGATACCAATTTTGGATCAACTAAATGTCACCAGAAAATTCGGAAAGTGACATGATATGGCATTATATGACATTAAAAACTACGAAGAAAAATAGATCGTAAAATAATTTAAAACCGAGATATTTATATGCAATTTGGATAGAAATATCACAGAAAGTGCTATTAAGTAGGCAAGGGAAGCTTCATATGCCCACTAACAAATAAAAACAAGAAGAATTGGTCAAGAAAATAGGGCATCTAAGACCAAGAAAAGAAAAAGATAATGTTATGAAATCTCTCTAATTAGACATGCTGTTGAAATCAATTCTCCAAAAAATTGAAATCTATGCTTTTGAAATCAACTCTATCATAGATAAAAAAAAAACTATGCCATCCTATAAAGATAAATTTTCTTACTATTTCAATAAATTGCCATGGTTTGTTTTATTATTTAGCTTTTAAAGATGAATTTTCTTGCTATTTTTAAAGATTTCATGGTCCATTTTCTCTGTAATGAGCTATAACAAAATAACAAAGAGCATACATAGAATTATTGTATCCAAATGGTCTAACAAATTTCATTAGTATTCCAATTAATGTATACTTTTGAATCCAAAAGTCAATGGAAATTGAAAATTATTAAAAATTAGATTAGATAAAGTAAATCTTTACAACGGAAAATGAAAATCTTGAAATCCCTCAGATTGAAAAGCCTCTTCCAATAAAAAGTAGGACTGCTCCATCAACTCGGGGCTCAATCTAAACATCAGGACACAAAATTCCATCTGATTGAGCGCTCCATCTCCATCAAAATCACCTTCTTTTAACATATTGTGAAGATCATCATCAGACAAGTCTTTTAGCCCCAGCAAGGCAGAATTCTTCTTAAGACTCTCAAATGTGATTACCCCTTTATCAGAATCCTTCAAGACTTGAAACCCATTACAAAGTTCTCCTATCAGACCATCCCCACCAAGTTTTTCTGCCATCAGGGGCAAGAAATCTTGGAAATTGGACTGGTTTTTTGATGCCATAAAGATGGGATTTTTGAAGTGAAAGTTCCTTGTTTTTTGTGTAAGAAATGAAAACTGTATTCTGATGGTGTAAGGGTGGAAGACTTATGTAATATATAGAGGAAGAATAGACGGTGAAGAGGGGTTTCTGAGAAGGATAGGGGACCATTGCAGAAACAGCATTTTTGACAACTAAGGAACAGTTGGTTGTTGTTGACATAAAACGCGAAGAAAAGGTCTTAACCCGTGCCCGTTAACTTGGTTTTCCGTGACGAAATTGCACCACAGCTTCTAGAAATGGTGGGGGGACTTTCGGATGGCATTCTTGTTTTGGAAGGGCAAAATCGTCTTTTCATTAGTGGAGACCAGCCATAAAAATGAGAAAAGCTCGAGTACGAAGGTTTCAGGTCTCTTTGATCATTCACTAAAATGACGCAATCATGCTATATGTACAATAATAATTGACAAAGTTTGTTTACAATCATGAATTGGTACCATCACATTCATCAATTTTAAAAACTGTCTTTTAAATAAACTATTCAAATTTTGCCATAGGTGTGTTTAATCCACATTATTTTAAAAGAATATATTCTGGAATAGTAGATTGATGGAGAATTTGTGATTGAAAAAGAATGAAAAGTTATTGATGTGATGGAAAATATTATTTTATTAAAAAATGTATGGTTGAAAATAAGTAAAAGAATGAGAATGAAAATTTTAATGTGTACTAAACAGGGGCCAAACATTGTTAACTATTCTCGTACAAGTAGATTAATACGAAATGACGACACATGATCATTTCTTCACAGAGATGGCAAACGGGCTGAACGGCTCGTCGGCTCGGCTCTTGAAAACACGAGCACGAGCCTGAGCCGCAAGTGAGCTCTTGCTCGGCTGGTCGAGCGCGCGAGCAGCTAGTGGGTTCGTGGAAAATTAAAGAAATTTTTTTAATAAAAAGTAAAAAAAAAATAATAATAATAATTCAAAAAGCTTGTGGCTTGGTTCGTGAGCTCACGAGCTCGTGGCCGAGCTCGAGCAAACGATCCAAGAGCTTGTGGGTATGAGCCGACTTGGCCCATTGCCATGACTATTTCTTTATATTTTAATTGACCATTAATGTAGAAAATTTTGTAGTATAATTGATGATAGTGAAAATCATATTGTCAACATTTCTAAGGAATCTATCCACGATTGACTAATTATCTTCCTTTTATGGATGACAAAAAAACCTTATACCCGCAGGTCCCGCTTAATCGGGTATTCAGGTCGGGAACGGGACATGGTGGGTGCAGGTAACGGATGCTCGGTCCCGTTTAATTTTTTTTTTTTTTTTTGCGAATTCAATACTTTAAATGAAAAATTTCACGAAATTTCATTAGTTTTAATAGAAAATGGCAACTAAGATTATCTAAAAATTTTGACAAATAATAAACCTTAGTTTACCAAAAAATATATTTGAATAATTCTACTTTTAAAAATAAATAAAAAATATATTATTGTCTCATTCTAATGAATGGATGCAATAAAATGAATTAAAAAAAAAAAATTTAACGGGGCAAGGGCCTCGCCCAGTCGCCTTAAATGGGTAATGTGCTAAGGACAGGGCGAAAAATTGCCTAACGAGGCGGGGGTAGGGGAGCTTGCTCCAACCCCGACCCATCCCATGGCCATCCCTACTTCATTTTCCTCATAAGAAATTTGCAAAAACATGTGAGTTAGTATTCATGGTTGTCAAAAAGAGGAGTGCCAGACATAAGCCCAGTTTGAGCCTCATTTTCTGAGAATAGTTTTTGTAAAAAATATATTTTTTAAAAATGTGTTGTTAAAAAGTGGGAAAAAGATTTAGGTTCACATACTAACTAATTTTATTGGAAAAATGTATGGTTAAAAATGAATTTGAAAAAAATTAAAAAATGTCTCAAATAGGGGCTAAGTATTTATTAAAGATTAGTAACTCACTCAAAATGTGTGGATAAAAAATAATTTTACAAGCATGAAGCAAAGTTATACTAATTCCATTGATATAGTCAAGTCAATAAAAGTGTTTTAACACCTACATAACAATACATGATAGGTCCAATTAAATGAGCTCTATATCCTTATATTTAATTCAATTTATCAAATGTCACACATGTTGCCACCTAACCAGTGTTAAACACCACTCATTCTACATAGCATTATTCAATCAGAAAAGGGTGCAAAGATTAAGGACGATGGCTACAATTTTCTCTATCAAGTAGGAATATTTCTGGCTTTCTTAGTACTATCTGTATAATTGTTTTCTGATTCTATTATTTTTAGCCAATACAGACGTTAGCTCTAATAAGAAAAACATTAACACGTTCCCAGTCAATGTTATAACTTATTGTCAGCTTGGAATAAGCTTAGGAATCACAAATGGAGAAATTGTCAGCAATGTGGATGGTTAGAAATATTGTTTCCTCACATTTGAATCCTCTGTACTGAATGCTGAAGTTCCAAAGTCAAGGCAAAACATAGATATGAACCATGGAGAAATCAATTAAAGATATAGCCTTTCTCCTTCTTCTTATCTGGTAATTCTTGCTGTCCATCCTAAAGAATTCCATTGCAACTGATATCATCAATACAGGTGAGATCCTCAGAGATGGCAGCACCTCGATTTCTTCAGGAGGAACCTTTGAACTAGGATTTTTTAGCCCAGTTAACTCCAAGAATCGGTATGTGGGAATTTGGTACAAGAAGGTACCTAATAGCGCTGTGCTTTGGGTCCTCAACAGACAAATTCCGATAAGAAGTACATCAGGCATGTTAAAGGTCATTGAGCCAGGCCAGTTGGTTCTTCTAAATAACACTGATAACGTCGTATGGTCTTCAAATATGTCAAGAATTGCTCAGATTCCAATTCTGCAATTGTTGGAGACGGGAAATCTTGTCCTTAAAGAAGCAAATGATGATAATTCAGAGAATTTCCTTCGGCAGAATTTTGATGATTTAACTGATACATATATGCCAGGCATGAACTTCGGTTGGAACTCTGCAACAGGTGTAGATAACTCCCTGTCATCGTGGACGAGCAATGACGATCCTGCTCCAGGAGAAGTAACATTTTACTTGGATCCAACGGGATATCCGCAAGCCTTCATGAAAAGAGGTGCAGTTACTATATATAGAGCACCGCATACTATAGAGAAGACACCATTGACAAATCAATTATTTCAAGGGCTACCTTGAATCAGAGTGGTGTTATACAACGCTAGTTATGGGTTGACCAAACAAGAGGTTGGGTCATCTACGTAACTTTACCAACAGATAATTGTGACACTTACAAATTGTGCGGTGCTTATGGTAATTGCAATATTGGGAATTCTCCAGCCTGTGGATGTCTACGTAGATTTGTACCAAAAGATCCAGAAGGTTGGATTAAGGGTGATTGGTCAAACGGATGCATTCGAAGGACTCCCTTGAATTGTCAAGGTGATGTATTTTTAAAGTATTCTAGTATTAAGTTGCCGGACTCACAAAATTCCACGTTTCATGAGAATATGACACTTGAACAATGCGAAGTGGAGTGTTCAAAAATTGTTCTTGTATGGCATATGCACAATTAAATATCCACCAAAGGAGTGGATGCCTGTTTTGGTTTCAAGTCTTGATTGACATTAGAGAGATGTCTTCAGATGGACAAGATATTTACATTAGAATGGCTTCTTCCGAGTTGGGTAAGACATCATATGACACAAGAAATAATGCTCATGGTAAAACTTTAGATTTTTAAAGATGTATTAAAAGAAAATGTGAAAATGAACAGAAAGAAGAAAAAGGAAGCGAATTAGTAATTCATTTTAGATTAAATTTGTTGCAGATTCCGAAGGAAAGAAAAAGAATACTCACAGCAACTTTGACATCAGTGATGGGAGTGGTTCTGCTAGGCCTAAGCTTGATGCTGTACTTTTGGAAGAGGTTCAAGAGGAAGAGAAATGACCCAAAAAGGAGAACAAGTGGTACGCAAACTTTTTCAATGGACGCGGGAGGAAAATGAACATGTACTACTTAGAACATGAAAAAGAACAAATACATGAATACGTACCAGTTAATAAACAAGCATGCACATCCTGCAGTGAACCCTTCCTCTTTGCACCTTCTCTTTCGTTAATAAATCCTCCACTCACATTGCAGGAAGTCATACTGAAAGTCAAAAACAAGACTTGGATCTCCCATTGTTTGACTTCAACACAATCTCAAAAGCTACCAACAACTTTTCAATTGAAAACAAGCTTGGAGAGGGTGGATTCGGGCCTGTTTATAAGGTACGTGGACACAGATGTACGTATTTTACTGGAAGTTGTGAGAGAAAATTAGGCTAGTACTGAATATTTAAACAACTTAGATAATTATGTCAGTTATAAAATCCTCGTGTTTTTCGAATATTTAAACAACTTAGTTAATTATGTCAGTTATAAAATCCTCGTGTTTTCAAGCATTGAATGGTGACAAAATGCTTGACTTTTAGAAGAACAATATAACTAGTTAACTTTGTTTAACGGAGATACCTAGGCTAAGATCTTGTGAAGAAGATGAGGTTTCGAAACTGTGGATAACCGTTGAGCCACGGGCCTCATTCCCTGAAAAGGTAAACTTGTTTTCTTTCTTATTTCAAACAGTTTCACAGAAAATGATAAATCACGCGTCTTCTGAAAATTTGACTTCCTACATAAGCTTAATTCTGTAAAAATATGCAGACGGAGGGAAAAAAAAAAAAGAAGTGTTGCATTCTAATAGAGCTATGTAATCACCTTTACATTTGAACTTGATGAATTAATAAAATCTCTTTTCTATCATCAGTTCCTTCAACGTGATTTTACATGTTGAACCTATCCTTTATTTTCTGTTGTTCTGTTCTGCTGATTTGCTAGTTTCTGTGCTGCTGTTAAATTCGTTTCTGCTGATTAATGTTCTTGCTGATTTCTGCTATCTGTTCTTGCTGATTTCATTTTCTTAAGATCCTACATAAGCTTAATTCTAAAAATATGCAGATGGAG